TTTTTTTTTCTTTTTTTAAAGTCTTAAAATTTTCTGTAACAGCAGCTTCTTTCTGTATTGGTGTGGAAGTTATATATATAGAGAGATATCTATAAATATATATAAGCTAAACTGCCTTACAGGTTGTTGTTTTGTGGGGGTTTTGTTGGTTTGCTTTTAGTTTTGTTTTGTTTTTTTCAGTGTTGTATGTGTAGCAGGCACTTGAGTTTATATGAAGATGTTTGCTTAGGAGCTGAGGGGCAAAGGTCTTGGGAGGGGGAGAGGGAAGGAAGGACGGAAGGAAGGAGCAGGGACTTTTGACAAGTGGCCACTGCTAGCCAAGGATGTCCAGGTAGATTGGAGTGGCCTTGCCCAGAGCATGAAGGATCTTGTAGATCTCCTTGATGTTGAGCCGTTGCTGAGGTTCTCTCTGCCAGCAGCCCAACATGATGTCGTAAACCTCCTTGGGGCAGACTCGAGGCCTTTCCAGAACTCGGCCTTGGGTAATGCACTCAATGACCTGAAAGGAAGAAAGAAAAGAGACAGTGAACCTCAGTCAGGCAGCTCCTGGGAGATCTCCTATCCCAGCTACTCCTTGGCCGATGTGGTATCGTTTAGTGAATGGGAGCACTGAGAAGCCAAGGTCTGCAGGTCCTCAGTGCTCACCTGTTTGTGTGTTGTTAATGATAATTTTACAGTGATAAGTTTGCCTCCAGCTGCAGTCTTACAAGTCCCAAAAATCTTTCCCATTTGACACCTACCTCAATGAACTCTCCAAACAGGAGGTTACAGTCAAATGAAATGAAATTTTAATTTATGATGTCAGTTTTTCCTGCTTGTCGAAGAAGGAAAAATAAGCCTTTAAATCCCTGAACTAAAGTAGTATTTTGCACAGCTGAAATTATATTTTTCTTCCCTGAAAATCAAGAGTCCTTTCCATTGCAAAACCCAAGAGAGTTCTACATGGGAGAGTTCAGAGTATCTATTCCTACCTCCGTCTCCAAGGGCAGCTCTGCCTCATTTTGACACAGAAAAGCAGCTGAAAGAATGAAATTTTATCTGAAATCACATCTGTGATGGAAAAAGAAATAGTGCAGTGCTACCACTCTGTTCTGAGTCAGGTCAGTGGTGGTAATGAGAGAAATGTGAGCTCCTGGACAGCATTAAAGTCTTTTCAGAGGGATGCCGTTGGAAAGGACACCCCTAAGTGTGTGTTTATATTTTGTTCACAGGAGGAATGGATGCAAAGGGAAGGGGGGTATGATTTGTCAGAGAGCTGCTATTACCGTCTGGCCTCCTTGGTTGGAGTTGATGAGTCCCAGCATCGCAGTGTACGAGTGACCTGCCACGCTCTGCAGATAAACACAGATCCCAAGCAGTGTGTTGAGGGAAGCCACCCAGCAAGGGGTGTTTGGAATTTATCATTTATGAATAGTAATGGGCCTGCCACGCAGCTCAACGGATACTTATCGCTTTGCTGTTTGCATATAAATACAGAGGGGAGAGATTAGGACCTGCTGAAAGCAGGGTGAGGAAGACGCAGCATGCAGAGAAGGCTGCATCACCATAAAGCTGTTAGCAGGAGCGGCCTGTGGGAAGAGGTGAGTTATGGTTTCTGACAGGACATCCTGGACATGCACAGGAGCCCTGTGGTGGGCCCCTTGTCTCTAGGGCAAAGGAAGGGCATAGACAGAAGTTAATGGACTGGCTCAGGCTTTCAGCTGAGGTGGTGTCCTGTCTCATCCCTCTGCTCAGGCAAAGCCTCTTCCAGCCTTGAACAAATCTGCTAAAAATGCTCTGGGGTCATGAGGCCATGTGGATGCTGCAGGAGGGAATGGGCATCTCAGCCTTGATAATACCCACACCCAACAGCAGCGGTGCTTGGCCATCCTGGTGATTGCTCACTGTCCACTCCTGGAGCATGGCAAAGACTCATTTAAGTTGCCTCTCCACAGGCTCTGCAGCTGCAGCCAGGCTGCTGCTGAGACTTGCTTGTGTGCTTCACCATCCAGGAGCTGGTGGAGGTGTCAGTCCCCCGCAACCAACCACCCCGGTTCTGTCCATCTCTCCACAAATTGTGAAAAAGGAGCCAGATGGGAGCTAACATGGCTCCCTCCCACTAGGACAGTGTGGTCTGGGGTGGGAATCCTCACCTCTCTCTGTATCTCTGGATACAGTAGGTGGGAAGGAAAAGATTTTTCCAGGGAGAGTAGCAAAGCCAATACAGCTGTATTTCAACCAGCTGTCTTCCCTCAAGGTTTGGGGGTGACTATTCCCAGTCCTACTGCCCTGCAAAGGAAACTGAGGCAGAAAGCACAGGGGCAGCTGAGCTGTCCTATTCCAGCATGCCTATCCCCCATGTACGAGCTGCATGTGCTCATTTGTGTGTGTTTGTTCCCTCCCAGGGAAATGCAAGAGCAGCTCATTAAATAGCGTGACAAATAACTTCTGTCACTGTCTATTCCATTGTTTGTGTCTCTAAAATGTTTGCGTGTGCTACTTTGGGATATAGAGTCAGGCCCCATTGAGCACACGAATGGGCAAGTATTAGAGCTGTAAAGCAACACCTTGGATTTGCCATCTCTGCAACTCACTTAATTAAGGGATCTGTATCCAGAAAGCAGAAAATGCACATTTCTCATTACAAAAGGTGAAATTTCTGAAATCCATTAGATACACAGTAGGATAAAAATGTGCAAGGTTCCCACACACTGCTATGTCAATGCATCTTGTTCCTCTTCTATAATACCCCCTGCTATTCTGAGCAAAAATCTTCCAATGCATTTCTGCTGATGTGCCTCAAACCTCAGCTCTGACACTCCGCTAATCCCAGCTCGCCTTCCCTCAACATTTTTACTGCACACCCCTATACTGATGGGCTGTAATTTTTGCTATTCAGAGAAATAAAAAGGACAAACCAGCTCCTTGTGTCCCACTCTCAAATGAACTGGGGAGAACCATAGAATAGATTTCCATATAGGAAAAAGCCCCCTCCCCCCCCAAAATGTGCCACATGCTATAATGGGCTATGAACTGCCATGAAGCTGTAACAGGCTTCAAACACTTTCTCACAGACTGAAGGCTGCAGCAAGAGTCTCGGCTATAAATTATGGTGAAAGCAGAGGAAATGCAAGGCATGACAATAACTTAGATCCCAGGGGTAATTTGAGTATCCCCAGTTCTGGCAGCACCCCAAGAGTTTATTAGAGGTGGTATGTCAGGAACTCAGAAGGGAGAGACTGAGCCAGTACGTGGCTTTGGCACAGTCTTTTGATTCCTGCATGCCTCAGTTTCCCCAGCTCTTAAATGGAGATAATGATACTTCTCCCATGGGGAAATGCCTGAAAAAGGACACAGCGAGGAGCTATTGCAGGTGCCAAGGAGGAGACCACGTATGTATGAACTGTTTTGCAAGTGTCTGGAAAGGAGAGATGGTAAAAAGTACAGTTTCCAGCTGAGGTGTCTCAGCACTGTTGTACCTCTGTGTTTGAGAGCTGAAACCAGGGCTGCTTGCCATACGTGAAGATCTCCCAGAGGATCACCCCGAAGCTCCAGACGTCACTCTCCGTTGTGAACTTCCTGTACATGATGCTCTCCGGAGGCATCCAGCGGATAGGCAGCATGGTGTGTCCTCCAACCTGGGCGAGGGCAAAGGCACAAGGAAACCTGAGTGATGAGAGCCCTGAGAAAGGGATCAGCCCTGGCGTAATGTGGACAAACTCAGGGCCTCCCTGTGAGCTACATCAACATGGAGCTGTTCAAAAAAGCTGGGCTGGCTACTGCGTCCCCGACCGCCCATGGGCTTACCCGCCAATCCCACCTGGTTAACATGATGGATAGGGAATGAAATGTATCAAGATAAATGATGTCCTCTCCTCCCAAAATGGGTTTGTAAAGAAATCAAATGACAAAATGCCAAGAGCATACTCAAACCCTACAGCCTGATTAACCAGGAGGCAAGGCAAGAAGCAGTGTTCAGCAAGGTACTGTGCTGAATTTTGCAGGACCTCAGTGCTCTGAGGCACCCACCAGAAATACAGCGTGGGGTTTATCCCTCTCTTCAGTAAGGTTTTCTAAAAGCCATGCACAGGCATCTGCACATCACCTAATTGTATGAAAGATTTTGTGCTCATAAAACCGTGCTACAGGCCTTTTCAAAGGGTGCTCTGGATACATACAAGACTGCAAGACCACACTGCAAAAAGGTGTCTGTTTGTAAAGAACAGGCTCTTACAGGCAGGTATATGACCAGCATTTAATGGAGGCAGGACAGCCAAGCCCCTTTGGAGAGTTTGGAAATGGAAGAGCCCATGGGCCAAGTCCCACTGGGGTATGCCAAGCCAGGGAAAGGCACTTTCTCAGTCAGGCACATGAATCCAGCAGGTAGATACATGCAAACTGTTAGAAAGCAGATGGATTTACCTTCAGATTCACTAGAGATTTCTAAACAAGTGTCTCTGAGCAGGACAAGTTTTCCTCTGTCCGTTCCTTCCTACATAAGAAGCACCCCCTGAGGGGAAATAGCTCGCTGGTAAGACCAGTCAGTGCTGGAAGGAGTGGGGCTGCAAGTCTCCAGCACATGTTTCTGCTGAGGGTAACGTGCCCACGGTTTTAGTGGTGAGGAGAAAGAGTGCTTTTGTGGTGCTGCTTGGAAAACTGCTTGTCTGATTATGGACACTAAAAAAAAAAGCAAGTGCTAGTAACTTTGTAGCGCCGCAACTGAATCAAACAAGCAGCAATCTCTCTGGTCCTGTGACAGATCAGAGGAGAAGGTATCTGGTATCTAGGTTTCCAGCATATGTGTGGCTATTCAAAATAATGAGATTGTTGTGCTCGCTTGGATGAAAACGTTTCTTGTACAAAAAAAGCTGTGCTCTGAGCTGCCAGTTTTCCCAAACTGCCACAGGTTTCTCTGCCTGATTAAAGCAGAACTATTGTGTGGAAGGGTGAGTAGAGACACACTGCAGTGCTTGGAAGCAAGAGGGACAGTGCTGGGGAGGTGTGTTGGAATAGGGTGTGAAATGGGAATGATGCTTAGCAGGTTTTCTGCTAGGAGGATGAGTCAGACTTAGCTGGAGTTTGACAGAATTTGGACTCGGGCTTGCAATGTTGTACTCAGAGGACTGCAGACCAGCCCTTTTTCTAACTCTGAAACAGCCTCTTCCTACAAAAAAAGAGAAGGAATTTTAAAAGTCTCAGGAACATCTTTCTTTCCTAAGTGCAGAGATGCTCAGAACTGCAATGCACAGAGATAAAAAGCTCATTGCAGCTCTACACTTCCTATTTAGAGATGGCTTGGTTGGCGTGTTCTCGGCTTGCTGCTCGGAACTCCCAAGAAGTCCTCCCATAATGGAAATACGCTTTTCTTTGTTTATTCCTTTGAAATCCTGGACGCAATTTTAGCTCTTTCCTGCATTTACAGCTTTTACAAGTTGCTTTCCCTTCTTGCGAACAGTTCCAAGGAAATGTTATCGACAGAACAGGACATACATCAAACTTGATTGTTGCAAAAACTGTTTCGTGCTAATGCTTATTTTGTTCTCCTCTAAGTAGCACTAACTCTTCAATTTTCCAGCAATCTTGAAATGATTACTTATTGCAAAGCTCTCTACATTTGCAATATCCTGAATCTTGCAGGACCATTTGAGATTACAGGTAGTACAATGTACTGAGCACTGTTAACTCCTTTCTGAACAGGTCTCCCAGCAGTTCAGAATCCATGGACCAGGTCCTCAGCTTACACAAACAGTATTACAGAATTATTGCTTGAATGGGAGGGCCCTGATTTACACCACTTGAGGATCTGGCCCTGAAAGGAGAGCAAATAAACCAGCAGTCCCATCTCAGTTCTAATAAGCTAAAATAAAGTTGAAGACTTTGGTCTCCTCTAGACATATCCTGGTGAAGAACTGCTAGTAGAGAGACATACACAGTGGTTGCCCCAAGGATGTGACGACACAGTCTTAGCTTGGCTCTTATGGTGGAGCCCAGGGATTGCCAAAGCATTCCTCTCAGCCCTGTATGCCATGTGAGAAACATCTTATACTAAAAACTAATTTGTAATAATTAATAATAGAATTAATTGAGGGGGAAACCCCAAGCAATTCCTAGAAATGTATGGATTCTAAAATACCGCTCAGCTATGCTCATATATCAGGAGGTATTCTTTGCAGAGGTACTATTTGCATCTCAAGACACCACATTTTTAAGAGCACATGGTGTGTTGCACCTACTAGCTAACTTTAAGCAGAACAGTCGTCCATTAAACTGTACCATAAAGCGACTCCAAAGTCTAGTCTAGCACATAAGGCTATTATGTTTTAATGCATTGCATTTGGCTATCCCTTACTGCTTCCCTCAGAAACTGATTAGGATTAAAATTCCCACTCACAGATGAGAAAACAAATTCAGGAAGGCAGGGAGAGGCCCTGCTCTGAAGCTGTATAGTAAGCGAACACTAAGTCGAGTCTTTCTGGTCTGCAGTCAGCTGTACCCTGTGACTTGCTGAGCTAGCAAAATGAATGCAGACAGATTGTGGTACTGATGTCATAGGAAGTAGAATGTGTCCAGGGTGACAGGAATCCTTTGCATAACATGTAGTGGCTGTGATCTGAGTTACACCAGTGCAGACTTGTGTGTGACTCTCACGGCTGCATCCTTATACAGGACCAGCCATTGTCAAAAGCTTAAAAGCAAAAGATGCTATTAAATCAGGCTAAAAAAAACCCCAAAAACAGGATGCTAGTTTTTTCTTTTGCAAAGCCAGTTTACATGGCATGTCCTTGGCTCTGGAAAGAATCATTATCATGTCTTTAGACAGAAGCTAAAAGTTTGCTTCTGTCAAGCCCCTGTTTGCTCAGATCTGGGCCTGAGGGGTTTCAGAAATAAGTCACCATGCAGGACTGATTCTTGTCAGGAACATGCTACCTCTGAGACTTTTCTAAAACAGGCATGTTATCTTCCCACCCCACCTTCCCCTATTTCCCCTGGGAGCCAGGGATGGGGGAGCCCAGCCATCACACTGGTTCATCTTCTGAAGGCCCCTAAGGGTGAAATGTCCTCAAACAGTGGCATTGCAACACTCCACAACCTGGAAGAGGGATTTGCTTTCAAGCAAATAAGGCAAGTAAATCCTCTTCTGTTCCTCCCTTTAAATCCTATGATGCTGCCAAGCTCACCCTTTCGCCTTGTTATTTGAATGTTTCACAGACCTGCAGACTGGCCTCTTTATCCCATTGCCATGGCTGTCTAGCTTTGCTTGACATTTTTAGCTCTCTGACTTTTTCTCCCTAGATCACTCCCCATGCCCACACTGACATGTTATTCCCACTGCTTTGCTCCTTCCATTTGCAGTACTATCCTGGTAATAAACAGAGCAATCAGCGTATATCCTCTGAGCGGCCAAAGTTTCCTTCTCCCTCCATTTCAAAATCACAGTATCACGAACTCCTTTCCACCTTTTTCTAATGGATACTCCCAAGTGCACAACCAGGTCTACAGCCACATGTTTCCGATACTCCAGGGCACCTGGCCTCTGCTCCGAAGCCTCATTATACATCCAAACCCGTAAACCTGCAAGATAACCAGCCACTCCTTTGAGCAGCTTATTGCTGTATTAGATATGAACCTCAGGGAGCTGGGGGAGGTTTGTGAAAGGCCAGCGTTAATGGCCATTAGGGAGAGAGATAATTACTTAATGCTAGTACAGCACTTTGACGATGTAAAGCTATATAAGTGCTATGTACCAGTAGTATTATAAGGCTCGAGGTTTGTCTGCTACCAAGGAAAGCCGGTGTCTGGGGAAAAAATTCTCTTTGTCCCAGCTTTCTGAATGACATCCAGCTGATTAGGAAAGGAAAAGATGACAGGTTATCCCCGACAACTTCGACAGTACAGCAACAGGTAGTGGAGCAGCAGTGTTCAGCAAAGACGGTGCAGTTTGGACCACTAACAGAGATACCATGGAAATCAAAATCAGAGTAGGGCTGAAAAACCCTCATGAGAACTTGGATCAGTGGGAATTCGGATACTAACACGTTACAGACAGCTGTTGGTGAGCAGCATTGTTTTTCCCCTCCCAGCTCACATACTAGCTCCAGGGCTGTAGCCCCAAGCAGCATTCAGAGAGGAGCTACCGAGCCATCCCCTCTGCGCTCACAGCCGAAGGTTGCTTCACTGATCGCAGCTAAGAACGGAATTTGGTCTCTGGCACACTCTAAGGCTGTGTTTTATTTTCCTTTTTGTACCATTTCCTTCCCAACTTTGGAATAAAATAAAAAATTAGTGCTTTTGTTTTGCTTGTTTATTTGACATTTGTTTCCAAGGTCATTTGACAGCTTTATTCCTCTTCCTGGCATACTTCAAGGGGGCTCTGCTCCTGCTCCTGCCTTGTTTGTTCACAAAAACAGCCACAGGTGTTCTTCATATGGTGCAGCATTATTTGAATTTCCTTTCTGTGTGCAAGAAGCTGGAGCTTCTACAGAATTACGTAGCAGTAGCGGAGGCCCTGGCACCATTTCTCCCCAAGAAAATCTACTCAACACTCAATTCACTCAACCTAGTGATAAGACACACATTCTCTGATTGCTGTCTGTTCCTGCTGCTGTAGGTAGGGATGACCTGGGATCTTCCTTAATTG